GATCCCTGAAAGTCCACACCTTCACGCCTGCCAGGCCTGCGCTGATTGCAACCAAGATGCATACTCGCAAAAAGATCATGGCCTCATCTGTAGAGGCTTGAGCCCAGATGTGCACCGGAGCAACTCCTCAGACTCAAACTCCAAGTCCCTGGAGTGCAGATACTGGTTGCCCTCAGGCTCCAGAACTTGCTGGCATTTCGCTCGCTTTCCGCATGCGGCAGATGTATCTACTAGATGCAGGTAGACAGACTTGATTCTTCACAGCATGACATTCTGTGCAAATTGTGCAACGATCCACACATGTTGCTCAGTACTCTACTTCGGATTCTGCCTGTCCGTCTGTCTGTCTGTCCCTGTCCCCGTCCCTGTCCCTGTCTGTCCCTGTCCCTGTCCGTCTGCCTGCCTGCCTGCCTGCCTGCCTGGCTTTCTGGCTGTGTCTGTCTGCCTGTCACGTACATACCTACGTACGCACATACATACATACATATATACATACATACATACATACATACATACATACATACATACATACATCCGTGCATCCATGCATCCGTGCATGCATACATATGTACGTACGTACACCCATGCATACACACATACATATGTACATACGTACATACGTACATACGTACATAGGTACATGCATACATACATACCTACATACGTACATACATACATACATACATACATACATACATACATACATACACATACGTAGATACATACAGGTTACATACATGCACACCTAACTAACGTGGAAAAACTGCCTAAGCACATGCACATACACACTTTCTTGTTTATTGGCGTCGTCTGGATACCTTGAACTAGTCGGTCAGTAGCTACATCCTGTGCTTTTGTTCGATCAGGGTATCCATATTCGGAACGATGACCGCCTACACGCGTGCAAATATGTGCATATATTCAGTGATTTTCTGTGTTACGACGATATACACTCTTCCGCCTTTCATTCATAGAAGCGTGCATGACTTGCATAGAAGTGTGCAGTTTTACTTTCTCGGAAATTTCGAAGGAATTCGAAGACCAAGATCCCGAACCCCACCAGCGTCGCTGCAGTTGGGAACACTTTACACCATACGAGTAGGACTTCATATGCATTACTTCATCTGCATTCGCACCTCGTCCGTCTACAAACTCCTTCAGCTCTAAGCAAGCTCAACCTCTGAAGGATCCATCTGCAGGATGTTGAGCACCTGCTCCTGACCTTTGCAAGCTAAATGCTACTCCGAACTGCATGCCAGATCCCTGGGTGATGAGGTTGCCCCCCACTGAATCTTCGGAGAGAGGAGGATATGTATTCGCAAGAACTGAGCAGCGCATGCTTTGTCACTCCGCCATCTGACTTGTGGTGGCTAGGCCAGCCAAGGCGACCGAACGAAGTGGCATAATGAGCTCCCGAATCTCCCAAGAATCTTTCAAGAGTTTACCAATGTTAGCGTCACTTTGCATCCCTTTACCTCGGTTCAGTAGGTTGGAGAAAAGGGAAGAAGACACTGCCTAAGTGAATCTTAGACTCAAAGACGAGGAGTATTCGGAAACGGATCTTGCGACCGGAGTGCCACAGCGATTTCTCAACGCTCAGCAACAAAACGAAAGAAAGACGACGCGGATTCAGTACCTCGCGACTCCAAGCCTGAGTTCGGTTAGCAGCTCTCAATGCACTTTACTCTCAAATGTTGGGGCACGATCGCTTCCTGTTTTGCAGAACTAAACACACAGTGACATGCCGGTAAATACTTCCGTAATGGTTGATTCATACAAGTGAAAAAACATATGATTCATCACAAGAGTCGAGAGGGCATGGACTTGTGCAACAGCTATAAACTACCGTGATCCGCCAAAAAAATGAGTAACAACCAAGATTATGAACACGGCAGACCACTGCTAAATACAGCGCAAATCGCACAATTCCAAACAAGCGATTTCGCAAAGTGAGGCCAGAAATGGATGCCAGTCTTCCCGCAGGTTGGCTACCGATGTTGCACATGTGGGCTGCGATCCGGGAGCGTGGGATTCGTAGGCAGATCGCACATGCTGTTGAAGTCTCGGTGCTGACGCACCCAGACTACGATTCCGTGCAGCCATAAAAACTGGTTCGAAGGAGGCTGCAGTCTCGCAGAGCGATTGGTCGAATGGCTGAAGCCTAGCTCCTTTTGGAACTTCCAAAGCTGCTCAAGGGCTCATGCGAAGACTCATAGTGCGGCCAACGCAATACTGAGCTACTGTTCCTGAGGGTTACACTTTGAACATGGAACTGTCGGAATGCAGAGCAAGAGGCGCTACAGGATGTGTGTGTGGAGCTGGACAGTCGAAACTCTCTCGATCCGCGGATGTGAGGAAAAATACAAACATGAGCGTGAGATACAGGTGTTCAGACGTGAACAGCTTCCTTCTGCTACTGATATGGCCGGTGAAGCCACATGGTTCGGAGAGAGCGAACCACAGCTTGAAAAGGCCAACCCTCCTAACTTTGCTAGGCGGGGCCCGTGGCACGGTGCACTGTCGGCATCCTGCTTCCTTTCAGAAGGCAAGGAACCTCTGCAATGAGACCAGCATCCCTTGAAGGTTACCGGGCGAGGTCTAAATTCTGAGTTTTCGGAGAGTGAGCACCGCCACGCACTTCGACAGTGCACGCCACAGGTATCCGACGGTTCTTCGCATCGTCTAGCCGGCCCAGGGCCTAGACGGTCTAGACATCTGAGTCTGCCTCAACGCGCAAGTTCAGACGGCTAACTATGGCATCCCGACAGGGAGGCACAGTCAGGCTCGTCAGAATTCGTCCGAAATGACCTTGTCCTCAGTGCACAGCCACGGTAGGTTGGACCGCAGTCCTTGAGATCTGGACGGAGGGATGCAGACCGAATGAAGTCTAGGCTGAAGCAAACTCTTGTGCTGCGCGACGACTGCAGACTACTTCCCCTGCTAGAACCATCAAAAGCTCAGTCTTGTTTTCCTCAAGCTCGGTGTCCAGACTGCGGTTGGCAGTACATCAAAAAACGCCAGGGTGCTGGCTTGCTCCACAGAACCAGCTGCTGATGCCACGATTGCGAAGGTTTCGGCAACGCAACATATCACGGTTCACAGAACCAGCTGCAGGTTCAGCACCGCAACATGCCGGGTTTGTTGAAAGCTGGCTTGCTCCACAGAACCAGCTGCTGAAGCATCGAAATTTTTCGATGCTTTCGAAGCAGTACATTGCTTTTCAAAACATCTTCGCATGTGCGAAAACAACGCGATGCACCACCTTCGGAGACACGGCCAGCAGGGACTTCGGCACAACTTCAAAATAGACACAGGCACAGTGTAGCTCGGACCATTAGTAGTAGGATTGGCAGTTTCCGCAGTCGCCTGAGTCGCCGCGCCAGGAAGCAGATGGAAGGAAGCCTTCCAAAACTGAGGCCGAAAGAATCGGCCTCGGAAAGATGAAGGGCAAAAATTTCGATCGTCAGGTCCAACGGTCGGGAACGATTTCGCCCGCTTCGTGCGCGTTTGTGCACTCACCGACATCCCCACAACTATGCAGGGGCTCGTTTCGGATGCTTGTTTTCTCAGGTCAGCAAGACGAAACCGCAGTGCAACTACGTCGTTGACGGACAAAGATGCTGGTGCGATGCTCTTGAAGTCTGAACCCATATGAATGTGAAAAAAAGCATCCAAGCAATTCATGTAAGCACTAAAGCCGGAAGCCAATAGGAAAAGTACATCATCAGAGCTCGAATGTCAGGGACCTCAGCGCAGCCAGCGCTTCGCTCCGGTGATGCGACTTCCGGACTGCAGCTGGCGAAGTATGCCGTGGAAATGCATACATGGAGAGGGGAGAGAGGGAGACAGAGAGAGAGAGAGAGACAGAGACGGACAGACAGACAGACAGACAGACAGACGGACGGACGGACGGACGGACAGACAGACAGACAGACAGACAGAGACAGACAGGGACAGACACAGACAGACACAAACAGCCTTAAGTATGTACACATTCA